GCTCAGCAGAGCGGGACAGTATTTCATGCCGGCACACCGCCTGAAACTGTACAAGGTTCGGCCTCACATGGAATACTGTTCCCATCTCTGGGCGGGGGCTAATCAGTGTCAGCTCTTTCCACTTGACCGCATCCAACGCAGAGCGGCTCGAATCGTCGACGACCGAGTCCTTTCCAATCGGCTCGATTCACTGGCTCTTAGAAGAGGTGTTGCATCTCTTTGCGTATTTTATCGCATCTAGCACGGGGAGTGCTCTGAGGAATTGTTCGGACTAATTCCAGCCGCTCAATGTGACCATCACATATCGCGAAAAACTCGCGATACCATCCTTACCATCTGGATGATTGACGGTCCACCGCTGTGCGATTTAGTAGATGTTTTCTTCCTAGCACAACTTCCTTGTGGAATCGATTACCACCAGCGATTTTTCCGAACCGATACGACTTGGGGACCTTCAAGAAAAGAGCCTACTCCTTTTTAAAAGGCCAGCAACGCATCTGCAATTCCCTTTGTGTTGCAGTTTTTCATGGGCGGCGGTAGTCACTTACCATCAGGTGAGCCGCATGTTCGTTTGCCCGCTCTCCTATATAAAAAGGTAGTAAATCTCGTTGATATGAACTTTCCAAATGGCATCCCTGTTTGGCGTACAATAATTTTCTACAGATACTATATGACACATCTGTAAAAATGTTGATGGCCGATAGAAAAGTATCCTCCCCAATAAATCGATTTCTTTGTCGTGTCTCACGCATGTTCTTAAGGCAATCGATTCCACTCGCAATGATTCATAATTATGCTCTCACTTTGCGGTCAGTATTTGAATACGTTGATAGGGAAGCTTAGTTCTTATTCGGTAATTAATAATATCGAGTCGGTGCTCACGCTGTTCAGGAGTCTCGTTAGTCAGTTGGTTTCGTATAACATCTAGACCATGCTCGCGCTGTTCAGATGAATCACCGCTCAAACGTCCATGGATACGATTGAGCCAACGGATCTTATCACTTTGCGACTCCTGTGCAATTGAGAACGCATGTAATTTCTCATCTGAGATAATCTAGCACGACGAGACAATGATGATTCTTGGGAACGAGATATAGCATTCCGTTTACAATTCTTGGATAGACGTTCCTTATTTGCAATAATAGTTTATTTAATTTGTTTTCCCTCATGCGGGCGGTACCTTTTAGTTGATCTGCCCATGGAATAACAGTATTACCTAATTACACTAAAAATGGAAAAATAATCTTTTTTAAGAAATTGTTAAACCAACTTCTAAACAAAAAAAAAAAAACATTACTTACTGCACTACAAAGCGAAAAATAAACTTAATAAGATATTTAATTCAAAAAAGAAAAATTCGTACAAGACTCGTTTATTGGATGTCCATTTATGTTTATAATAACGTACTTACCTTTACTTACTTTCTAAATTATTACAATAACTAAATAAACGAAAAATTTGACTTATGAAAACTACCTACTTATAACTGTTAAAAATATTATTCTATAAATAGCTTTATACAATACCTTTTAGTTTATCAATAATAACTATTTCTTTACAAATTAAGATAATTTACACAATTACAATTCGTTTTTAAACATGTTACCAATTAATTTAAATAAAATACTATTATTTGGACTAGGCACCTACTTATCTGTTTGAAAGATTGTTTATATTAAAATATACACTAGTAACTGTGATCTGAAGTTTATTTTTACACAGTTCACCTGATGATATGTGGCTACAGTTGTCCGTGGACGTCTGCAGCAAAGTTCAAGCAAAAAATACTACAGATGCGTTGTCACCTTCTAGGTTTAAGGTGGAATACCTTATAGCCTGTAAATATACTCGTTCTCTAACTCTTCAGACTGGAACGCAGCAGGAATGCACCTTGCTGGTGTATAAAAGTAATATTTAATGAGATGGTGGTACTTACCCAGACGGACTCCCAGGTAGAAAATTAGTCCTATCAATTAGTACCTACATTAATGACACAACAACAAAAACTACACTAATAAACAAATAGTTGTAATCCACATTTCGCTTCGCATAATTAGGATGGCGGTATTAAAAATGTTGGTAGGTATTTTACTATATTTTACCTATATAGCAATATCTCAGATATTCCGCGTAATATATTTGATAGGGGTTTCAACTGAATAAATAGAACAGATTAAATTTCTACGTTGGTTCTGTTTATTCAACCGCCTTGTTATACAGAATGGGGTCCCACATATATGCAATAAATTAAACCACAAGTAATACTAGTCCATAGAAGTGTAGAAAAATTAAATTTTAAATTAAAACCCGTAAAATAAAAAAGTGAAATTTTCAAACAAAATAAATATTAAAATAAATTCAGTAAAAGTAAACACTCTGTTTAGACAACGTACCTTGACCCCTTGGAAGAGTGACAACGTTGCACGCGGGTGGCATGGCGGTTGGCGGCAGGCAGCGTTATTGTTTGTCGGCACGGCCTATGGTTCGTTGGACAATGTGCGACGAAATAAAAACTTACTAAACTGTTTAGGTAATTTACCGCCACTTTTTTATTTCGCGAAAATGGAACTGAACGAAATAAATATTATTGCATATTAGTAGCAAAATTTAATGAAACCCTAAATTTTAAAATTTTCAAAATCGTTCTTGAATGCACAAGTTACATCGCCGCATAATGTTGTCCTGAAGCTTGCTCAAAAAATTTCGTTCAGGATCCAGAGCCAGGGCTTTTAATTTGTTAAAGGCGGCAACAATACGATTGCGCAGTTCATCTTCGGTTTCGAAAATCTTTGAGTACACTTCATTTTTAATTAAGCCCCATAAAAAGAAGTCTAGAGGAGTGAGGTCAAAAAAAGTAAAGTAGTGTCAATATCACAGTGAAAAAATAAACGTACTTAAAACACTATTTACACATACAAAGTCAATTAACTAATAAGTGTCTATTTCACCGTAAAAGAATTGTTTGACTAATTGTATTTATCTTACGATAAAATGATAATTATCTTACGATAAATAATTACGATGCGCGTAGGTAGCGAAACGCACCTGTATCCTGGAACAATTGCGCGTGAACTGGAAGCTAAACTTCCAAATTCCAAAATGGCGAAAATAATAAAACTAATAAACGATTATTGCACCTTGTGGCCGCCCTGGCCACAAGGTGCAATAATCGTTTATCGATACTTTTCTTTTTACACTTACTTACCTACTACATGTGAATACAAGTAATTTTGATTTTTGATTTGATAATAGACAAGTTATTGATTGTTAAAAAAAAGTTTATTTTGTACAATTGAATTTACGAAACTACCGATTTGTGACTTCCTGGGAAACGGGTAAGTATGTATGACTTTTTAATTGGTTGTTTTTATGGGTTTTTTATCATGTTAAAATAATTTATTATCTCTAAATCTACAAGAACACACTTAAACAAAAAAGCTTTAAAGTTTAGCTTTAAATACTTAGGTCGTAGTGTTTTTAGGATTATCATAACAACACGATAATTCTAAAAAAACATACCCTAAGTGTTTAAAGCTAAACATTTTTTTGTTTATCGTTTATTACTTACTCCCTTTGAAAGAAGCTAATCGTCGATAACAGGTGTCCTACTCTACGACAAAGGCGCGCGCGCAGTTGTGCCGTCGCCTTTGAAGTGCGCCGCGTGCCTCGTTCCGCTTGTTTATGCACGCTGACAAAAGACACCGCCGTCGACACGTCGCAATACCAATAGTTTGCACTGCGTGGCAACGTCGCTTTTTAATGTTCAAGGATTCAAGTTCATTGAATCATTGACTTAGTGACCCACTTCTATAGAGGGTTCAAATTTGCTTAAAATTAAAACTCTACTTTTTAACTTAATTACTGGGCCGATTATGTTCATTTTTTGTATATCGTCAGCAAAAGCGATAACAAGTATGTGTTTTCATTTATTGCATATATGTGGGACCCGATTCTGTGTATATGCAACCGACAAATATTTACAATTATTATTATTTTTTTTAATTGTCTATTGTTGAATTTAATGATATAATGGGTTCTCATCCGTACATATAATTCAATTAAAAATCGCGATGAAAGCAATCACATGGTTATTAGAATTCAATTTTCTACCGACTTCAAAAAGGAGGAGGTATTCAATTCGCCTGTATGTTCTTTTTTATGTGTGTTACCTCATAACTTTTTTCTAGACGAACCGATTTCGATGATTGTTTTTTATATGAAAGCTGGTCCTTCTTCTCGGTTGTACAATTTTTTAATTTTTTAATTATAGTTTATACTTAAAGCGTCCACTCTTATCCCAATATTTCAAAGTAAAATCGAGTATTATCATATTGCTGGGTGAACACCAAAAGCGTGCAACTGATTCCGTGTACCTGACACTCCTAAACGGGCGTACCGGTACGTAGGTGAAGCCGACCGGTACTACCACAGACGTCGCGGGCAGGGTGAACTCCTCTCTTCTTCATACCCATCATTGTTCCGTCTAGTTGCCGAGTTATTTATTACACATATGATATAGGCCTCTATAGATTGTTTTATAGAGTGGATTTTGCCATAGTTGCTACGCTTGGCAGGCGGGTTGGTAACCGCAGTGTTTTATAATTTTGAGTTGATATCAGGAAGATTCTGCTGCCTATCTCCTGTTTCAGTTTCCCTTTGTCATCTCTTACGACACCCACGGGATGATATTGGGTAGTGGATATTGTTACATCGACACTGCACGGTGATTCTTACAACATTTCATGACCATGACTTAGTATTCTAACTAGGATCATCACAGCTTATAATGAATTCGTGTTGTTCTAATTTTATACTCTCATATTTTGTGACAGTCATAAAAATCGCTTTGAGAGAGAAGTTGGTGACTACTTCAAATCCAAATAGAAAGTTTACCAGCAGAGAGGTAATGTTGTAAATTATGAAAATACAGTTAAAATTATAGATTGCACGAAGGCCCCTTACCACGAAAGGAGTGCCCGATCTGCCAGAAGCTGGTGCGCATGATCGATCTGAAGTACCACGTACAGCGTCACCAGACTAATGGCCGTTACGAGTGCCGCGACTGCAAGAAGGTGTTCTCGCATATCTCTACCTACCAGGGACATCTCAAATACACCAGGGCGCATGTTTCTGACCACGTATTCAAGTAAGTTCGTGCCAGATTTGCGTTTTAAAGGTCCTTTAAATTCAAATGTCTGATGTTTTACTTCGTCTTTCGTAATGCGTACGGCCAAATATTGGAATAATTCGTTGGTTTTCATCCTTTCAATTATTATAAAAAAATACAATCTTTGAGTATTCAAGGCAAGAGTGACAGGGCAGTGATAGTCTTTTATTAGGATAAGATAGTGTGATTTACCATCACCACTTATCACCAGGTGGAATAATTATAATTATTATTAGCTAACTTTATTTCTCTACCGAACGTAGAGCTGTCATAGACATCTACATCTACCCTCTATTACAAATCAAAATGCAGATACGCTGTCACCCGTGAGGACTAAGATAGCATGCCTCATTTCCAGTAAAAAGGGTCTCCGGTTCTCTACACTCACCATACGAAACACAGCAGCGTTAAGCTGCTATTTTACTCTGGTATTCTGTGAGAGCGTGGTCCTTCCCCGGTCGAGCCGACTCACTCGTGCTATAACTATACTACTAATATAGTTGCAGCATGGCTCTACCACGTAATAAACTGTGAATACACTATTGCTTTACTTTCGAAATGAGTGGAGAAGGAAATGCTAAATGGAGACGACCTGGCAAGACATGCAAGAAGTCGATAGATGCAGGTGGCTCAGGACCGTGTTTTGTTCCTTTAGATTTTTTATTTAATTTAGATTCTAAGTAATAGTTATTGAAAGTCATTCTTATCTTTAATTTACTACTGATTCGGAATATAACTGTCCTTGGAAGAACCAGCAAGAAACCCAGCGGGACTTGCTTTAATTATTGATATTCATGACTGTCTCGTTGGTTGGTTGGTTGGTTGGTCGTAAGCGTGTTAAGGAAGTTGGCGATGTTTCATCCCCGTGCCATGGAAAGCACGAAAAGCCGTTGGTCCTGGGCCTGAATCTTCTCCAGTCGTGTTGGATTGCCTTCCCTTCAGACAGTGAGAGCGAGAGAGAGACTTTCTTTCGATCGCCGTGACTGAAATTCAGTCTGGAGGACATTATTTTCGATAGTGGAGTTTCATTTCTTGAACACTATCCGTCCTCCATCGACATTAAGTTCGTTTTTCAACTCCGTTTTATAAAAAAATGTCAACCAACCATTCTGTATATAAAGATAATATTTTATATTAAATAAATTACGGCTTAATTAAATTACGGCTCCGTGTCGCAGTGGCTTAGCAATCAGTTGCTGCGCTGGGGGCCGCGGGTTCGAATCCCGCACGGAACAAGTATATGTATGACCTACAAATAATTGTTCCGGGTCTGGATGTTTGTCCTTGTGCAATTTGTGTTTGTAAACTGCCTCCACGATACAGGAGAAAATCTTAGTGTGGGGGTAACGTTTAAAAAAAAAAGATCCTAAAAATGGTCGCTAAGAGATAGTGTTAAAATACTTATGACTTTTACTTATTTTATAAATACAAATAAGTCGTATTTAACAACTGTAACTCAAAATTGAGGTAAAAAATAGTTGAGAGCAATTATTTTACAACTTGTCACCGTGGTTGCCACCTTACTCCACACTTATAAAAATACAATTTGTGTATAAATACAGCACAATTTAAATATAATAAATATTTATTAAAAAACCTAACTCAACATAGTCGTGATACTATTTAAGCTAAATAGGTTCCTTAACATATAATATTGTCTTCCAGACCAAATTTTGGTCCCAGCAGCCAATCTCAAGACATCTGTGTAGAACAGGATTATAGTGCACGAGTTTATGCGCAAGCACAGGTGCACTCTCTATTCCCTCACTCTTGTAGTCCAATGGGACGGCAATCAGACACGACCAGAATTCAGCGCAGGACCATCGGCTTTACGTGCCGGGCTGCACTTAGAATTTCTTGTCAAAAAATCCAATAACTGATTTTGTCCCGACCCGGGATTTGAAATCGGGACGTCATAATCAGCAGTCGCACTTACGATCTCTAGCGCGACAGTCATATAAATATATACCAGTCACTCATGTCCGTGTGTCTGACAGCTTGGACGATTGTGCTATCTTATTTCCTTTTCTTATCTTTCATCATCATCATTACAGCCCTTTACAAGTCCACTGCTGAACATAGGCCTCCCCCAAAGAATGCCACAAAGCACGGTCCTGAGCCACCTGCATCCATCGACTTCCTGCATGTCTTAACAGGTCGTCACTCCATCTCGTGGGGGGACGCCCTACACTTCGCCTACCGGTACGAGGCTGCCACTCGAGAACCTTTCTTCCCCATCGGTTGTCGGTTCTTCGAGCTATATGGCCGGCCCACTGCCACTTCAGCTTACTAATCCGTTGGGCTATGTCGGTTACTCTGGTTCTACTGCGGATATCCTCATTCCTAAGTTTATCACGCAGAGAAACTCCGAGCATAGCCCTCTCCATAGCTCGCTGAGCGACCTTGAGCTTCCTCATACGGCCAGCAGTGAAGGACCACGTCTCAGTTCCGTAAGTCACCACTGGCAACACGCACTGGTTGTGCAATTTCGTTTTCAGGTTTTGAGGTATGTTTGACGAGAAGATGTGTCGTAGCTTCCCGAACGCTGCCCAGCCGAGTTGAATCCGTCGATTGACCTCTCGGTCGAAGTTGGACTTACCTAGTCGGACTATTTGTCCCAGGTAAACATACTCGTCAACAACTTCGAGCTTAGTGCTCCCAACAACTACCGGCATAGGTGTGACATGGACATTGAACATGATCTTTGTTTTGTCCATGTTCATCAGACCTATCCGTTGGGAAACACTATCGAGGTCATTGAGCATAGTGCTTAGGTCCTCCAGCGATTCTGCCATAAGGACTATATCGTCGGCAAATCGAAGGTGAGTGATGTACTCGCCATTGATGTTGATACAGTATCCTTTCCAGTCCAGAAGCTTGAAAACGTCTTCCAATGCAGCGGTGAAGAGTTTCGGGGATATGACGTCACCCTGTCTTACACCTCTCTGCAATTGGATAGGTTTCGTACTCTGATTCTGTACTCGGATAGCCATCGTAGCCCTACTGTACAAGCACTTCAACACTTCGATATACCGACAGTCAACTTGGCACCGCTGAAGGGACTGCAGCACCGCCCAAATTTCGACGGAATCAAAGGCTTTCTCATAGTCCACATACGCCAGACATAGTGGCAAATTGTACTCTTCGGACTTCTGTACAATTTGCCGAAGGGTATGTATGGGGTCTATGGTGCTAAAGCCCTTTCGGAAACCGGCTTGTTCGGGAGGCTGGAAGTCGTCAAGTCTGCGCGCGAGACGATTCGTAATGACTCTCGAAAACAGCACGTAGACGCGGCTCAGAAGGGAAATCGGTCTGTAGTTCTTCAAGAGAGCGTTGTCACCTTTCTTGAAAAACAAGACCACCGCACTTCTGCTCCACGCCTCCGGTGTAATGCCACCATGGAGGACGGAATTAAAGAGCTTCTGAAGGACTTCAAGTACCGTTCTTCCACCCGCTTTCAGAAGCTCCGCTGTAATTCCATCCTCGCCTGGGGCCTTACCGTTTTTAAGGTGCTGGAAAGCCATTCTAATCTCGCTCAGACTGACGTCCGGGATATCTTCGGAATAGTGTCGGATGAGACTCGCTCTTGGATCGTTACTCACACTTGCGTGTGGCTCCAACGATGATGTGTACAGCTGCCCATAGAACCTCTCAATCTCACTAAAAATCTCAGGTGTCCCGGAAACGATGCTGCCGCATTCTGGCAAAGACTTTGGAGCCTTGGTTCCGCTCGATCGCTTCTTCAATACGAGCTGTATTGAAGTTGCGTAAGTCCCGCCGCATGCATTTGGAGATCTGTCTGTTCAGATGCCTGTATGCTGTCAAGTCTGTTGAAGAATGTAGCCTCATCTCCTGTCTAACAGCCATGAGATTAAGAGTGTGATCGGAGAGTTTTTATGTTCTTCTGCGGCGGGTCTTGCAGAACTTAGCTCCGACCGCATGGACAGTTTCCACGAGCTTGTCATTCATATCGTCCACTTCATTGCAGTCTTCTAGGCACTGAAAACGGTTTTGTAACTCGAGCTGAAAGGTTTCGGGACTTTGGAACAGAGCACGAGGGGGACGGAGCGTTGACTTCATTAGACGAGACCTCTCCAACTTAACGTTTAGGTTCAGTGTGCCTCTAACCATTCGGTGATCGCTACCAGTTTTCACCCTCGCGATCACGGAGACATCACTGAACAGTTGTCATCTGGTCGTCATAATGAAGTCAATCTCATTTTTGGTCGAACCGTCGGGGCTCGACCAGGTCCACTTCCTGTGGGGCCGCTTCTGGAAGAAAGAGTTCATCATAAAGAGTCCCTCTTTCTCCATGAAGTCGGCCAGCTGCTGGCCCCTTGGGTTCCGTTGCCCTATTCCAAATTTCCCTACTTTCAGCTCACCGTTCTCTCTTGTGCCTAGTTTTGCATTGAAGTCTCCCATTAACACCGTATATTGGGTTTTGGAGGAATGCATGGCTCTAGAGATATCCTCATACATTTCCTCCACCTCCTCATCGGGTGTGCCGAGGTTGGTGCGTAAACCTGTATGACCTTCAGCGAATACCGTTTGGTGATTCTGAGTATAAGGTACGCAACCCTCGTCGACACACTCCCGATCTTTACAACGTTGTTAACGAGAGACTTGTGGACGATAAATCCGACACCTCCTTGGGACAGATGGTCGCCCTCCCGGTGATAGAACAAGTTGCCGGATTCGAGGATTACCGTGTCCTCCCCCTCTCTTCGGACTTCGGATAATCCTATAATATGCCAGCGCAACTTGTCTATCTCTTCTTCCAGCTCCACGATCTTCTCGTCAGTCCTCAGGGTGCGTGCGTTGTACGTTGCCAGGTCAAGTCGTCTAAGGTGGCAACCGAACCTCCACCAGAGATTCTGCCCCGCCGTTACCATGGTCGCCACCGTAGCCAGGAATAGCGGGGCCGCCGGGGACTGGGGGCCGTCTCTTTGTTACACTCATAGAGGGGGTATTTGCCATAGTTACCACGCTTGGCGAGTGGGTTGGCAACCGCAGTTTTTTTATTATAATTTTGGCAATTATCAGGAAGATGCTGCTGCCCATCTCCTGCCTGTTTCCCTTTGTCGCCTTTTACGACACCCACGGGAGGATATGGGGTAGTGGATATTCTTGACCGCCACTACACGGCTATCCTTATCTTTGACTTAACTAAATTAAGTAAAAACATAATTGAGTGAGTACTGAATAGTTTATAATATATTAAATGATTATATTTATATTATGAAATAACATAGTCCTTTATATCTTCGCAAACTAGACTACCTTTGTCAAGTGGTCATCCGTTGACATCGCCCATTATCTCCCCAGGTTCCAATGTCCGAAGTGCAGCAAGGGCTACTCGACCAAAAAGGCGATGCAGGACCACTTTAATTACCACCACCTAGGTAAAACGTCGCACAAATGCCTCATCTGCAACAAGGTACTTGTTAACTTTAGTTAAATTTAGTAAACAGTTACTTTAATTTGTAGTTAGTATAGTAGCTACGTAGTCACTTAAAATAATCCTCTAGACTTTATCATCCTGTGGGTGTCGTAAAAGAACAACGGAAAATTGGAACAGGAGATACGCTGCAGCATCATCCTGATAAAAACACAAAATGATAAAAAAAACTGCGGTTGCCAACCCGCCTGCCAAGCTTTTGATATTATATATAATTATTATATTTTAATAATAATAATTATTAATTTACCACGTGCTCGGCGGTGAAGGAAAACATGGCAAGGAAACCTGCATGTCTGAGAAATAAGAAAAAATATATTTCAAAGTCATGTGAAGTTCGGCCACACGCATTGGGGCAGCGCGGCGGACATTTCCTTGCCCTAAAACCGTCTCAGAAATGAGAGGAGGATGCCTATGCCCAGCAATGGGACGTATATAGGCTGTAACTTTAACTTTAAACTTTTATTATAATTGTATTAATTTCCACTTTATTTGGCACATATGTGTATTATACAATAATACTAAATAAAGTGTTATCGACTGCATATCAAAAACAAACACCGAATAATAGTGTTCTGCCTTTTCTACAGCCAATGGCAACCAAAGCCTGCGTAGAAAGGCACATGATGAGACTACACGGGGAGAAGAAAGAGAAGCCGAGAACCCACATTTGTGAGCAATGCGGGAAAGCATTCGCTGTGAGTATAGTTTCTGTCAGTCTATGTGGTAAAATTAACTCTGATACTAAGTACTGTCGAAAGTTTTAGCATGTTAGATATTATATAATCACTAGAATCTGGCGTTACTATGCGAAAATTCATTATATTAACGATGTTAAAAATTTAGTAACTAAAATCCGCATAATAAAACAAAATGATGTGTCTTACCTAGTTTGAAGAGCACCTCCCGCCCTACTTTCATTGTGTGCACTATCCCCGTTACCATTAATCCCAACACCGCTACACTAGGTGGTTTATCTTTCCTAGTGTAGTGGTATTCGTAGTAGTAACGCTGGAATTAGGGAGGACGGGAGGTGCTCTTCAAACTAGGTAAGACACACTAATTTATTTTATTACACGGATCGTAGATAATCATTTTTTTAACATCGTTAAGATATTATATAATTTATGCTAACTGGTAACATTGCTGTGTAATGGCGGTGTAAGAATATCTACTACCCCATATCATCCCGTGGGTGTCGTAAGAGGCGACAGAGGAAAACCAAATCACGGGATAGACAACAGTTTCTTTCTAATAACGACTTAAAATTAAAAAAAAACTTTCGGTTACAACCGGCGTGGTAGCTATGGAAAATATTCCTCCTATGAGGCAATCTATGGGGGAGGCCTATGTTCAGCAGTTGACTTTAATAGACTGAAACGGTAGCGGATACACTTTGACCAACAGATGTCTCTATACTACATTTATATTTCAGGACAAGAAAACCTTGATACAGCACGAGATTACCCACTCCGGCGCAAGACCACTATCCTGTGATATATGCCAGCAGACGTTCAAGCATAAAGCGTCCTTATACACGCATAGAAAGAAAGTTCACAACATAGCAATAGCGAAGAAAGTTGTCGAATTCATGGACACGCAGAACGCGGGAGCGTAGAAATGAAGAGAAAGCGAAGAGCGGGTAGATTTGAAATTCGCAAAGAGTAGAGATTGACGTGTGGTATAGAAGAGACCCTGACAGCCTTCATCACCCCATTTCGGCCCGTGAGTGTCGTAAGAGGCGATTATGGGGGATTCCAATTCCTTTTGGGTTGCGATAGGTGGCGCTATGTTCATACCACTTACGCCAGACGTAGAATACCCAGAACGGTAACGGGCAGCAACATCTAAAGCCGGCAATACATGTTGGCCAAGCCTCAGCCAACGCGTGCCTAGGAGAATTGATACAAGGCGAGTGCTACAGTCTACATGTTGGTCAAGCCTCAGCCAACGCGAGCGTAGGCAAATTGATACAAGGCGAGTGCTACAGTCTACATGTTGGCCAAGCCTATTTTTTTTATAGGATAGGGTGACAAACGAGCACACAGTCCACCTGATGGTAAGTGGTTACTGTGACCCATAGACATCTCTCAAATATCTCCTCAATAAAGACTCAAGATGCAGATGCGTTGTCACCCGTGAGGACTAAGATGGAATGCCTCTTTGCCAGTAAAAAGGGTCTCCAGTTCTCTACACTCACCATACGAAACACAGAAACGTTAAGCTGCTATTTTACGCTGGTTTTCTGTGAGAGCGTGGTCCTTCCCCGGTCGAGCCGACCCATTCGTGCTACAACTATACTACTAATATAGCTGCCGAATGACTCTACCACGTTTAAAAGCCTTTTTTTTTACGGGGGGAAATCCTCATGGACTACCTCCGCCTGGGGAAAGGCGGAGGGGCGTGCCGGACTCTTACCGACTAAAACCACCCCGGTGTCTCCTCGCACGTGCGCGCGGGGCCGCGGGAATCCAAATTCTTCCGCAGCCCCACACTAGTGCTGGCCCGGTCTGTCCGGGCCTCGTCTCCTGCACGGGGTAGTGAGTTCAACTGCCTCGTGTATCGCCTCAGGGGCGCGCGCCGACACGCGCGCGCCTCCGCCTCAGGTCCATCTAATAAGGCTGGCGGGGGCTTCCCCAAGTCCCTCGCCCCTGGACCTATTTATGGGAGCCGGAAAAGGGCGTTGTCCGCCCTTCTCCTGCGCCCGTTGCGCCTTCTGCGGCCGGGGAAGGGAGTCGAGATCTCCCTCTCCCGTTCCGCAGTTTCCTTCTGCGACATCACGTCCTCGCAGAAGGACACCACCGCGTCCCACGACTCTGCGCTACCGACCATCCTCCGCACTAAGGACGGCAACGACAGATCGCCTCCTACTTCATTTTTGAGGACACGGCGCTGCTCCTCCCAAGCTTCACACTCAGCGAGCGTGTGTTGCACCGTGTCCTCCCCCCAATGGATGCACTGGTGGCACCGAGCGTCCGCCTCCCTGTCTATACGGCACAGGTACTTGCCGAAGCAGCCGTGCCCCGACAGCACCTGCGTCACCCTAAACTACAGGGAGCCGTGCCTTCTCCCGAGCCATTCGTCGAGTACTGGCCGGATCGCCTCGATGGTAGCGAGGCCGGCGGTAGGGCGCAGAAGCCTTTGCCACCATTCCGCCACCAAGACCTGACGGAGCTCCTCTCGGCGCAGCGCGATCTACACCGGCCTCGAGCCTCTAGGTCTCAGGGCGGGGATCCGGCCAGGACGCAAGCCACCTCGTAGGAATTCGTGCGATACCCGCGGACGACTCTGACGGATATCGCCTTCTCCGGTTTGCGCAGAATAGCAAGAGTGCTGGCCGTACCAGCACCAGCACCACCCCACCCCGGGATACTGTCTCCTCCGCCAGGGCCCTCACGCACGTAATAGCGTCTATGGTGGAGCGCCCGCGACGAAAGCCAAACTGGTTCTCGTCCAGGTTCGGCCCCTCTCTGCACAAGTGGCTGACGAGGCGATCTGCGACGATACGCTCAAGAAGTTTGCCCGCCTCGTCGAGCAGCACTATGGGCCAGTACGCGGACGGTTAGTCCGCGGTGCGCCCCTCCTTCCTGAGCAGGACCAGCCTCCCTCCTTCCACACACTGGGAAACTGACCCTGCTCGAGACATGCCGTGAAGAGCCCCCTCAGCTGGGGCTCTAGCTCCTTCAGAGCCAGGACGAGAGCTCGACCAAGAACTCCGTCATATCCGGGCGCTGTGTTCTTAGCCCGGAGTCGCGATACAGCCGCTCTCGTCCCTGCTTGCGTCACCTCGGGGACATCGGTGCTCTCCTCTTCTGGAGAGACTGTGGCTGAGGGCGAAGCCATCGCCGGGGGAACGTGTCCCACTCGCTCAGGGAAGAGAGCCGATACCACCGCCTCTAGCAACTGGGGTTGCATCGTTTGTGTTAGTGGAGGCGCCCAGGCGCCCCCACGGATCCCGATCTAGGGACCCCAGCAGCTCCTCCCTGGCACGCGACTTTGAGTCGCCGATGGCCAGCCACAGAGTCTCGTTAGACGCGCGGTACACCTCGTACAACGCGTCCTCCTCGGCGGAATCCCGTCGACGCCGCCTACGGTTACTGGTGTACCGGCGACGAGCCGCAACGTACGCTATGCGCAATTGCGCGACCTCTGCGGTCCACCAGTACACCTGGTGCCTTGCGGACCGTTGGCGAAAACGGGGCATGGACGCGTCGCAGACCTGCTTTATCGCCCCGCGAAACCATAGCGCCACCGCTTCCGGTTTCACCTGGGGCGCATGCAGCTGCTGCGGCCTTCTTGGTGGCTTTGCGGGCTTTCTTGCGGCCTACGACTTTCGCCCTCCGCGAGGAGCTCCCACCGCGGGCTTTTTGTTATCCTCCGCGGGCTTCCCCTTTTGAGGCGTAAGTCTCGGCGGCTCCTCAGTCCTTCGCCTGTCCGCCGCCAGAGGCGGACGGAGGGTTTCCGCCGGGAGACGTCTTACGTAGTGAACCCCATGTCACTCTCTGCTTCACTAGCCGCCGAGGTATTGGAGCACACGAACCGTCAGTGCTTATCCCTCCGCGGCTGCGAAGCACTCGGCTCTCTCGATACCTGCCGATCCCTCCCCGAAGTCGGCAACTTGGGAGCCTTGGGCCTTCCTCTTCTGAAGACCGGCACACTGGACGTTTCCTAGCGGAAGACGTCCCACGCTACCGATTTCCAGTATCTGATCTAGCCTGATTTTCGACCTCTACTGTGTTTTTGTTTTTTAAATAATTTGATTTTTCCATTTTTTTCCCACGAGTGTGGAGGAAATAATAGTCCATCCTGGCAGCGCCTCCTTTGCCCGGATAAGCCTATGCGTAACCCGTCAAGGGTGTCGGCCGGTACCCCGACGGGGGCAACGCTAACGACTGAACATTTAACCATCAGCCATGCAGCTCCTCACGGCGTGCCACGCTTGATCTTCGGGTGATTTTTTAGAAAGGTTATCATCCTCGCGGCTCCAGGCGGTTAAGCCAAGAGCCCTCGGCCCCTTAGGCGCCGCGAGACGTGATTCACGACACGCCAGAGGGATTCCGAGGTTCGAACGGTGGCAGGGTCTATACGGGTTCTTCCCATGCCTGCCCAGAGACCGGGTGAGGGAACACTGAGCCCATTCGGTTTCCTTTTTTACAGGGTGTGGTCCCTGAAAATCCCGCAATTACGGGTTGCCCGGCGTCGGCAAAAGCCGAGTGCACCTGGCACCTCACCGCGCATGTCGTATTCTCTGTTCCTCTCAACGGAGAGGATACGGGAAGCAACTATTAGGCCCTCCATTATCCAGACAAGCCCTCAGCCAGCCAGTTTTGGTCCGCGACGGTTTCCCGCTACCACCCATATCTGAGTGGCGTTCCCCTATCCGCCACCTGGGGACGCCCCCGATGGGAGCTCTGACAACTCCACACGGGATGTAGGCCAAGCCTCAGCCAACGCGAGCGTAGGCAAATTGATACAAGGCGAGTGCTACAGTCTACGTGTTGGCCAAGCCACAGTCAACGCGAGCGTAGGCAAATTGATACAAGACGAGTGATACGTCCGTATGTTGGCTAAGTTTGAATGAGTCAAAAACTGACATGGCCATCTAACATGTGGACACGAATTGCCGAGCGCAGGCGAGCACCTTTGATCTGTGCAGAAAAATCGATACTGTTCCGAAGTGAGTGAATCGCGGCGAACGTACCGAGTGGTGGCAAGGCACGCCAAACGAACCGTATACAAGTTGGCGCTCGTCTGCATTCGGCCAGCTAGGCGAGCGACGACGAGCAATAGCGAGGCTAGGCAAATGTTCTGTCCATATATTCGCCTTCGTTCGGCCAACATACATAGCCGGCTTAAGGTGCTCACGTTTGGTACTGCGATCGTCAAACTGTACCCAAGCGTGACGATTCAGGAAAATCCACCATACAACAGTAAAGGACCATGTCTAGTGGTTAACTTTTACGGATTATCATTATAATTAATTACTAAACCGCCCCGGCTTCGCACGTTTGATTTCTGTATCTCGACAACAACGCCACCTACCGGCTCCAATTGTGAATCTTAACCATTCTCTAATCAACTTAATCAAACACACAAAATTTCATCAAAATCGGTCCAGCCGTTTAGGAGTTCAGTCATATTACACACGGACAGAAAAATTTTATAATTTTTAACATGCGTAATATATACACATACATAAACATTCCTTGTATCATTCTGTCTATTGATGAAAACCGCATCAAAATCCGTTGTTTAGTTTAAAAGATATAAGCGTACAGAAGGCGGGAAGTGACTGTTTTATACTATGTAGAGATAGTTACTTTGCCGAAATCCATTTTATTAAAGTTGGTAAAAATTATTTTGCTCATATATTATATTGCGTCTTACCTAGTTTGAAGCAAACTTTTTAAACTATCAAAGACACAATAAAATCTAATTTAATAATAATTTAATTTAATTCAAAATGGAAAGCCCACCACGTTTTAAGACACTACCTGAAGGAGCAAATTCAAATTATCTGATTTAGTTAGCAAAAGGTGGTGTCAACTAAACAATAATTAAAAATGATGAAAGTAATGTTTTTATTTAACTTAATGCTGAATCGAATTGAACTATTTT